TGGTCCTAGAAGTTGGCCACATCTCAGAGGTGCTTAGACTAGGCTCCAGCTGTGGCTATGCTTGGATAACTCTATTTCTGTCATATCTTTTAGATTGGTAATCATTTAACCTTATAAGGGTCGCTGTAGCCAATAGCAGCTGACGCTAACTTGAAAGGTATATGTGCCGGAGTCTAGACCCATTTATTAATGATGTTTCCTATAGAACTGCTGCAAATACTGCCCAATTCAAAAGTAATTAAAAAATAGTTCATAGCCGTGTTATAAGGATTCACTCCTCTCATAACCCACGACGACATCTACAGTATCATAATAGTCGGAACTTTTCATAACAAATATCAGTTTAACGTTGCAATCCAATTTGTAGATTTTCGAACATCCGATAATTTGTTGACATTCATCAGATTGGCATTTTGTAGTCGTTGTTGAGTAGTCGAACTTCTGAATTATTCGAAAACAGCACGTTTGGAACGTTAGAATTTTTGAATTATTTGAAAATAGTGCTAAGCACAAAGAAAAGAGTTTATAAATTGAATTTGATCACTCAAATCAAGATACAAGCAATGTTTAAAACAAAATTCATATTCAAAATATATTTCTCCATATTGCAAAACATGGAAAAGGGTATGTAAGGTAAACCTTACCAAAAGAAAGGACTTTCCAAAAAATAGCATTTAGCTGACTTATGCACTTCCACAATTATAATCTTTCATTTCTTCCTATGGAAAGCATACGAAGAAATACTGATGGCTTAGCAAGTGTCTAAACGCCGAATCCTTCTATGACCATGCGATTAAAGAAGCAAGTCATCCAAAGCAGATGTATTGTTTTTAATTTGCAGTAATTCTTAAGGGGTGTAGTTCTGTCTCATTACTAAATTAGCAGCCCTACGTTTTCCAAAGGAAAAAGTTTTGGATTATTTCAATCCACATAACTGATTCCCCTTGGCTAGATATTGAAGCGGGAAAAATTCATTTTCCCGCAACTTTTTAGAAGTTCCTACCAAGGTGCTTCCCAAGTATTAAGCTACTGTTTCTTACCTTCTATTCCTTTCTTTTGCAGTCACTGCCTGAAGGAGCTTATGGAGCAGAAGAGAAGCT